AATACCCACTATAGTAGTTAGCAGCAAAAGTTTTTTTAATCTGACAGTGAATAAAACATGAGTGTCTTATGTCCCCAATGACTACTAAAAGGGTATTGGTAGCCTTTAGTGACCAAGAATTTTCAAGGCAGTGTAGAAAGCATAGAAAACTGGGTCAGTAGTATTAAGCTCTGGGGTTACCAGCTATGATACACTCAAAAATGTCAGCAGTCACAGGGGTTTGGGAAAAAGATTTCAAACATCAGACAATATCTTAAAAGGGAAAAACAGGTTTATTTCATGCGTTTTACAATAAACTAGTGTTACGAAAAGGAGGTTAAAAATACCCATACACGTTTTAGTTGTATATTTGTTCTAAAAATGATGGGTAAATGCATCTACCTTAAAACAAGTTGGGAAGCCCTACTAGAGGTTTATCCAGGGAACTTTCTGGATTCATCTCCATGTCAATTTCTATGCTAATCATCTTGGCTCATGCGAAAGCATTAAAGCCATGTCAAAATTCAAACTTTGCTGCAATAAGAACACTTCAGAGATAATGAACTGGCACAAAAGGAAACTGTTATTGCTAATCCACTATCCAGGAAATAAAACATTGCAAGTATGTCCTCCTGGGCCCTAACACAAACAGCTGATGCACAACTTACTGTCAGACCACCAATAAAACTGGTGAATTGGGTAAAGGAGACCTGGACAGCCCATTGGAAATGAAGATTTTCAAACCCAGGTTCAAATCGGGCTCAAGTCAGCAGTGGCTGAAAGTAGTTGCCCTCTGATATCTGTTCAGTGATTTAAAGAAAATGGTTCTGTGGTCTTGATTCAGTTCCTAGTAGTCAGGTTGGCACTATTTGGCCTATAGTGCATAGGCACTTGCTCTTTCCTGGCAAACACACGTGGGCCAAGTGTACTTTAGGTTAAGTGCGCATAAGCTTTCGGGGGGGGGAAAAAATCTGCAAATGGAGCATGAGCCAGGCACACAAATACATCAGCCACTAGATTCCAGAAAGCCAAGCCTTGGAGATGAGACCATTGTTAAGGTGGGTCAAAATTTAAGCTCAGCCTTCAGTCCTTTAACTTCTGTGGGAGAGCACTGTCTCTACAAGTGTTACGGTAAAAGCGCGAAATCACCCAGAAGTCATAAGGTAGCTTTCCACACTATAATGTAGATTTCTCCCTCTCCATGGCAGTCAATGTAACTATTACTAATATCTGCAACAGCGTTACTAACTGAGTTTTACAAGAATGTATTCCTTGTTAGACTTGGCTAAAGTAAAGGGAAGCTAATTTGCAATGGAATAACCAATGACTATTGCCTGAGGAAGAAGAACCTTCCCAAAGTCTCCTTATTCCCAGTTCTATTAACAGAAGCTGTTAGGTTTCAATATTTACACAAGAAAGTGACAGCCGATTGTGCTATCTTCTGCACTTGCAGTCCTACCAAGATGGAGGCTGGAGTATAACAAAAATCAAAGAGCTGCTATTTGTGATTGGCTCGTAATGTTACTAATATGGATGTTCAGAGTTTGTAAGATGTTAGAAAAATGCAATAGCTGGTCTTTAAAAATATTTATGCACATTTAACTGGAACTTCAAATTAGCCCTCGGAGGTGTATTAGCCCTTAGCATGTCTGAATTCAAAGCGTTGACAATTCCTTCTGTCTGTGATAGTTAGGTTAGGCAAACTGAACAATAAAGTGTGGAAGATTTAGCCCTTTAAAGTGTCTATTTGGCAATAAGCCTTTAAAGACAGTTGCCTTTTGCAGTCTCTAAGGTGCCACAAGGACTCCTCGTTTTTTTTTTGTTTTGTTTTTAAGATACTACCAGTTACCTTCCAAGGGAGTTTGGAGAGTCTCCTGAACATTTAAGTGAATACTGATGGGATTCTCTGTTCCTGAGTCGCCTATTTTACATACACTGATCTAACTGGGATCCTGAGATGGTCCCTAAAGCAGGAAACAGATGCAATATAAAATGTACAAAAACAAACAGGGAGCAACTTCAGGACTTACATATTTCAAAATTGTTTTCTGTTAGTAATGGGATGTTTTGAGCTGCTGGCCATCAGCAGTTCTAGATCCAGGCTTCTGAGTCAACAGGGATGCTGCTGAAGAAAAGAAACCCTCTTTCCTAAGACCTCAGATGCAAGGGCTGACTGAAGAACAGCAGTAATTTGAAAGAGCTGCATTCACATCTCCTGGGAAGGGGAAGGTTTATGATATGGAGGAAGTAAATCAAGTAGGTGCAAATGAAATTCAAAGAGATTCTCCACCCCACCCTCCTTGAATGCCACCCAAACTGCTGGCTCTTTTGTTAGGTTTCTACTCGGAGGAAAAGGCCCATCTCTTAGGCCTTGTCTACTGTCACTTTACAGCGCTGCAACTTTCTCGCTCAGGGGTGTGAAAAAAGTTTCAGCACTGTAAAGTGGCAGTGTAGACAGTGCACCAGTGCTGGGAGTTACTCCTCTCATGGGGGTGACTTTTTTACAGCACTGGGAGAGCTCTGTCCCAGCGCTGGTGCCGCACATACACAGCCACGTTAAAGTGCTGCCGCGTGAAGACTCTTCCTAACATTCTCTCCCCCCCTCCTCAGGAAGCTGTTCCCCCAAACACCAGACTGACTGGATTAAAGTGCACCAGCCAGGTTCTGGACTATTTACTTCAGACAGAACATGCTGTTGCTGTCCTTGCACCTCAGACTCATTGCAGGCTGGAATATAGCAGAGGTTCCCAACGAATCTGAGAGCATTCATTAGTTGGAGTAGATTCCTACAGTGCTTCCCTGCACAAACAGCACCTGCTTCCCCCCCCAAACAAGAAGCTCTGCAGTTTGAAGTGCAGCTCTCTTCTTAAAACTGGCTATGTGAAAACTCCGCCATATTACCCAACAGACCTGCTCTTTAGGTGTGATCAGAGTTAGACCTGTCAACTTTAGTGTCAAAATAAATTTTTACTGTTTTTTTACTTTTAGCCGTGCAAAACCAACACAGCTACAGAAGGGGCTGGATTATATCTGACATTCATCAGGGGGCTTGTTTAGTAATTTTAAATGTTGCACCTGTGCAAACCCATTGCTTGGAAAGGTACAGCATCAGTGTCATTCAGGGAAGAATTTGAAAACAATGGAGTGGCACAGATGCAACTGCAGCTTAAGTCATCCACCAGAACCTTTAATTGGTGCTGAAATGAAAGATGGAAAGAGACCCACTGGCTCTCAGAGCTCAGGGTGAATTTGCCGGAGGAGCAGACAAAGGGCTTCTTCTTACTTGTATTTGATACAGACTCACCAAGGATTGAGAAAAATCCCATAGTGGCTCCCAGGTTTAACAGAGGAGCAGCAATTTAGTCTTTAAGTACAATCAATTTCAATTGGTTAAAATGGTTCATGGGACTACAATTAAACTCGGATTGAACTATTGTTTGAAAAACAGCCAAAAGTGTTTGATTTACAATTAATTATTTCCCCTGAAGCCAGAAATTGGTCATTACAAAATCCAATACCAATAGTTTCACTTTTTTCCTGATTTAAGTCTACAGGGGTTTCTGTGGTAATACTTAAGTTTTACAAATTTAAACTTACTGTGTTTTTAAAAGGTTTGTAAAACTTCTGGGTCTCATTTAAAACGGTTTAAAGAATCCCAATGAAAATCAGTCTAATTCTCTACTTAAGTAATCCCTTGGGTCTGTGTATGTAGCTCCAAATGATTGATACACTTAGATGGAGAATGTTTGTACACCTGTTAGGTCAGGAAATTGGGCCTTCCATAAAACAGTAATAACTCACTCAAGAAAGAAATTGTCCCTTGTATGAAAAGCCACTTTAATTGTTTGTCTGCCTTGATCTAGTGTGCCCTCATTCTCTTCTGCTATAACCTACCCATGCTCATGATTTAAAATCTAGGGCTGTAATACTGTTTTCATCTATTGATAAAGTAGCTTACAAATTCAAAGAGTCTGACCTGACCGTCCTGTCTACCTCTTGCTAGTGTAGCTAACCTTATTCTAAGTTACCAGATTTCAATACAAAAAGAAACCAAATTTTAGTAGAGGGAAACTCCTGGGGCTTTAGGAAAAGAATTTGACAGTACTGTAGAACCTCAGAGTTATGAACCTCAGAGTTACACACTGACCAGTCAACCACACTCCTCATTTGGAACCGGAAGCATGCAATCAGGCATCAGCAGAGACAAAAAACAGCAGAACAAGACAGTACAGTACTGTGTTAAATGTAAACTATTATAAAGGGAAGGTTTTAAAAAAAGATTTGATAGGTAAAGAAACTGTCTCTGTGCTTGTTTCATTTAAATTAAGATGGATAAAAGTAGCATTTTTCATCTGCATAATAAAGTTTCAAAGCTGTATTAAGCCAATGTTCAGTTGTAAACTTTTGAAAGAACCACCATTATGTTTTATTCAGAGTTATGAACATTTCAGAGTTATGAACAACCTCCATTCCCAATGTTTTCTTAACTCTGAGGTTCTAATGTACATGCACCTAAGTGAATGTCTCAGATGTTAAAGAAATATGAAATTAATAAGGGTAACAGCAAGAACAGAAGATTAGTTGACAAGGTCTCCTACAGCAGCTTGCAAAATTATTTACCAGATATTTGCCTAATAATTTATTATTTTTTTTTGCTGAAGTGAGAGACAATAGCTCTGTGAGGTATCAGACAGAGAAAGTGCAAAATGTTAATGATTCAAACTCTTCCCCAAAATCATTTTTGCTACTACAAGGGACAATGTAAACCAGGGTGCAGATAATCCCACCAAAAAAAATAAAAAGCAAATGTATTATACCATAAAGTATTCCAGTGAAAACGCCACTCTCTAAAAGTGGCCCCTTTTCTTATATATCCTCCAAGTTGTTTCAATTTTCTCAGTTTCTTACTCATGTTTTGCTTCTGCAATCCTTAAGGATCTCAGGTAGTTTATGAAAATCAAATCTTCTGCCTTCTTTTGTTTAACAACAGAAGACAACACACAAAAATGCAGATTTTGGAATGATATCAATATACATTTTTAATTATTAAAAGGCATTAAAAGCCATTTAATCCAATGCTGAATTTACTCTGTAGAGCACAGCAGGAAAATAGGAAGCTTTAAAGGCCACAATTCCATGAGCCATGGAACCTGAAGAACATGGGTTGTGTCAAAGTGCTTAAACCCAGTGACTTTCCAGCAGAGGAAATACCTTTGAAGACAAATAACTGCCAGGCTTATCTTTAGATACACAAGATTATCTGTTACTATTTAGGGGAAATTTAGGCATTAACTTCAGGCTGATAAAATATGGATGCCTACAAAAAAAAAAAAGTATAAAAGTATAAACATTTCCCCCTACAGAATAATTACATTTTAGTAAATTCAGTTAGGTCTTAACATCTTAAAAAAAGACAAACATATTAATGTGGTATTGTGGAGGGGTCAGCAGCTTCCTGTGCAGACCGCATCCAAGTGGCAAAATGCTTTACAAACTCTTTCAAGCATTAGATGCACAACAAAACATTTAGCCCACTGCATAACCTGCTTTGTAGAAATGATTTTACAAATTGTTTACGCCAAACTTATCAAAGTACAATAAGTCTTAAAAAATATAGTAGACCCAAGATGCTTGAGAAACTGGTTTTCACGTGGAGGATTACACATTTTACTCGTAGAGGATATGGTATATGTAAAAATTCTGAAGTTATTTAATGAAACAGTTTAAAATGCTTTTAGAATTCAAGACCATCTTGGACAATCCGGTTTAAACTCCCATCCACTGCTCCACCTAGAGCTACGCAAGCCAATGAAGCTGCAAGAATCGAGAGTTTTACACAATCAATTTAGTTGAATTTGTTTCAAAAAGTCATGCTACTGGTTTTGTTTAAAACACAATGCACTAAAAAGCTCCAGTCTTGTGTGTTAACATTTACCACAGGCCTGTCCTAACGCAGCTGTGTGAAAATGTTTTCAGGCAGCATTCTTAGAAACATCATAAAGAACTGCATAGTTGAAACAATGTAGAGAGATGGACTGTAAACATTCTGAAAATTCAAAGCAATTAATTCAGATTTTTAATTGGGTGAGCTTGTGTTTGCTCTTAGGGTAACTTTAAACCCATTCACCGAGATTAGAATCTAACACTATCCAGCCATATAACTACACAAACTCCAGCTCTTAAAAATACCCAACAAAATCCAAGAGGAGCTTGACACTTGTAGGCATTTCTAAAATGTACAACATTTGGTTAGCAACAAACATTTCAAAAGAGACAAGATATTCAGTTGTGACAATAATTTAAGAAATTTTGATTTTCCTTTCAAACATTTGGCTAAGACTGGAGCTTAACTTTTGCAGGAGGAAGTTATTTTGACAGCAGAAACATCAGAGATGATTCAGACAAAAGACATTTTCTCCAAGTTTAGTATTCCCTTTGACTATTAAAATAAGCCATCAACCCAGTCAGTATTTTACACCTATTCTTTATGGGAATCTTTTGTCTGGGGTGTAACTTTTTACAAGGTAGTTTCACTTGATCTCCTACACCATTCTTACCTAATAGAAAATGTGTCACTGAGCCATAAGGAATGTGCAGTATAAGATAGTAAACCGGGGCTGTCATTGATTCCAAAACCAACTATGTAGGCCCAAATATTTGCATTTATGGGCTATAATATATATGTAGCACCAAATACAGTGTCCTTTAACTGTTTGCAATTATTAATACCAAAATAATTTCAAACTGATCAACATTGGATCATCCAGCACCAGATGTAAGTGCTACATGTCTCAGAGGAAAATATGAGTGCATGATTGTTTCTTTCTATGTGACCAATATAATTCAGCCCATGAGAGAGTACAACCATGCACTAGAACCAAGATTAACACATCTCTCACATCATCTATTCCCATTCAATAATCTTGCGATGTTTTCAGCCAGCAAATTCAGTCTATACCAGCTTATAGGCAAAAATGGTTCAATCCAGATCAATAGAAAATTATCTAAAGCAGATTTCTTCCTCTCACAGCCAAGCCTCTTCAATGTGATAATTCACTGCATCTTGGAATAAAAGAAATATTCTTCAGTGTTCAATATGGTCTTCACATCCTGGAACCTCGCTCTTGCAAAATCTGAAAGAGACAGTTAAAAATTACGCACATGAAAATTTCCCAATATCAGACCTAAAGCCTGGGGGGCAGAGAGTAAAAGAAATCACTGTATTTCAATCAGGTGATAAAGCCCGAAGGGCTGGCTTAAGGACTTTCCTGAAGCTGATGCCTTAATATAGAAAAACAGAGAATAGGCTATACATCACTTATTAAATTTCATTAACACACCTGTACAAAAGATCACCATTAGTGTATTTGAGTCACACTAATAAGAGGAAAGATAGACTATTTAATATTGTAAGGGGGCAGTAAATGTAGAGATCAATCAGACAAATGAGCGCAACTGGTCATCGATAAAGTTCACAGCACACAGACCAAACACAGAGTTCCTAAAAGTCACAAGAAGGTAAAGGAGGAGCTGCAAGGATAGTAGGTGTATGGGCTAAGCCAGTTTCTCTGATCCTAGCAGCAAGGCTGCCTAGTTTGTGCATTACCAGGGAAAATGGAGAATTGCCTTTTTCAGACCTGGGATTTTTTAAATTGTACTTGCTTTAGTAACATCTCCTGTGCTCTCCCTTGTTTTATGTATGACCTGTGTCACTTAGAGTAGCAACGAAACGTGCATAAGTAGCACAAAACGCGCCAAGGAAACTTTGGCAGGGACACGATTATAGTGTGAAAAAACAAGCAGTGTTTGAAGGTCAGGAGTATAAAAGCTTGCAATGGGCTAGATCAACTCCTATACAGAGTAGGCTGATGCATTAACCCTACAGTATCTGCCCTGACCTCTTAAAAGCAGTCCTCAGTATTAGTTATATGGTAAATACAAACAGCCAGATTCTTGACCCCATGGGACTATTTGTTAGGCTACTAATACGTGAAAGCTATTAGCCTGATGTATTAAGTTAATGTTTTAGATATATCTTCATGTTTGAGCAATAGTATTTAATAGATTTTCATGCAATATATTGGCTTGCACAATTTCTCTTGCGTCTGTGAAGAGCCACAGTCGATATGCAAATCTTTCTTTTGGTGGGACGGGACACTTTGTGGAGTTCACTTTTCCAGGTACTCTCCTGCCCAATACTGTTATGCTTTGTGAAGCAGAAGACAGACAATGAAGAGATACGGTGTTTTTTGAAGTATATTGGTTAAATTTTATAAGGAAGTGAGTTCAATTTAGTGGATAGAGAGATGTTAAGAATCACACTTTCACAGGATTCATGTGGCCCATCCCATTGCAGTTGAGCGACCCTATGTTTGTAAGAGGAGACTACAATGAATTGGAGACCTCCTCCGCCCTTAAGACACCATTCTATAACCAGCCTATAATCCAGATAAAGTGGCCCAAACTTGTGCACCTAAATTAATATCAACTCCCTACCATTTTGTAGCACACATCTCAAGACAGAAATCCTGTATGAAAGATTCTACTCTCCTGCAGTGAAAAGTGAGAAGAGCCTCTCCTGGTGTGGGGAGAGGGGATGTACTCATTTTGCCAAGAAAAGCCCATTTGCTACAATATGCACTGCAGAAATCACATTCTGAAAATTGGTACTTTAAAATATTTTCTGAAGAGAATTGAGTTTAAGTATTTGCCTCTGAAGTATCCAGGGTCTCTTCTTGGCATCTGCTCACCACTTTTCCTCTGCTCCCTCTGGTGGTTTTGGCTTTCCTGTCGCCACCCTCTTCACCTCAACCCCATAGTATGGGCCCTAAATTCTTGTATGATGGTATCCAAGCACCTAAGATTAGGTCTCGGGTTACTAGCCTCAGTTTTTTCATGTAATAGGTGATTAGTAATGATGAGATCAGTTATGATGGTGATTAGCACCACAGGGAAGCCTACAAATAAACTAAGGAGGAAGTCTTGATAGTAGTCAGACAAACTAAGCAAAGCTTTAAATGTGCCAGTGACAAGTACAGAGCACTGTTTGCTAGTCAGTGAAATTGGCAACACCTGACGCTTTACTCATGTGGCCTGTGGCTGCCTTCATGGGGCTGAAAAGGCTTTCTGATCCAATCACGAGGAGAAGGTATATGACAGGCCAGGCACATTCCCCGGCAGAGGCAGCCACTGGTGTCATGCAGAAGTTCCTTCTCTGGTACTTGCAGTGGAATAGAATGTTTAAACCATGAACATCTTACACTGATACTCAGTAGTACCTTCCCTCCTAAAGAATTTCACAGGCCTTTACAATACACATACAAACACCTGTCCCTCTATACTTGCAGGGTAGAACATGGCAGCTGCTTAATAGGGCACAGAAGCTCCGTATTAATGAATATACCAAAAAACTTGACGTTTAAACTTACAGATGAATTTCATATTGCAAGTAACTAACTTTTCTAGTTCAAAACCAGCCAACAATGGATAAGCCTTTCACATCAATTACAGCCAATTAGGATATAGTCTTTCCTGATGTATATAATGCTTTGGGATCTTCAAGGATTACAATTAGTGAGACCCCTCAGTTGTATGATTTCTCCTAAAAAAGGTAACTTCAGAGGCAGAGTGCTCTCTAGGACTACAGTGGAGATCTTGGTTAAGTAACGATTTAGGATCTGTCTACGCTGCAATTAAGAACCCATATCTGGCTTGTGCCAGCTGACTCAGGCTAAGGGGCTGTTTAATTGTGATGTAGCCGTTCGGGCTATAGCCCAGGCTCTAGGACTCTGCGAGGAGCCCAAATGTCTACATCGCAATTAAACAGCCCCTTAGCCCAAGCCCACACCAGCCACAGGTATCTAAATACAGTGTAGACATACCCTTGGAGGGAAAAGTGCCATCTATTGACTCACCAACAGTACTTTCTGCAGCACCTGGATTTTACTTTCTGGTTGGAGGGTTCCTATTCACACCGTATACTGTTCCTGCTTAGCTTTGACAGCAGATGAGATCACAGCTAGTATTACTATGAAGTTCCTTTGAAAGGTTTTCTAGATGGAGTATGAAAAGTTTCAAAGTATGTATTAAAAGCAAATGCTACATATTTCAGCGTTAAGAAAATTTATCACCTGTGCTTCTAGTTAATTAAAAGCATTCTATAAGAAACTGCATGGCAAACACAAGTGTATTCAGTGAGTAAAAGTCAGGCCTTGAAAATTTACTTGACAACTGCTAGTAAAGGGATTTACCATGGTGAAAAATACATGTGCTAGTATGCCTGCTTGCAACTTAAAGTTAGAGGAACAGTTAAGTACTGTAATTGCAATATTATCAATCAACATTTATTATATATATTGCCAACAGCACCCGTGTATGGTATTTTCCAAAACACAGAAGAGGGCACTCCCTACTCTGAGCAGAATACAATCAAGTTAACTATCAAACTTTAAAAGCATGCATCTTACTACTAGGGCTGGTCAACTGGCAGGAAAAAGACATTGGCTATATTATTCAATACATTCCACCATATGATAGTCACCAAGCAGAATGTGACCACCATGACTGAATACCATAAAGAAAACGATCAGTTGAATAAGTTATTTGATGAACCCCAGTGGGTTAGATGTGGTGCTGAACTGATTAACTAATTGAGTTTAACATCACACATTTAGTTAAACCTGTGTATGCAGACACTCATATCAGATTCAACATGGCTCATCTCGGTTTAGCTTGCACCTGTAGAGTCCTAGAGTTCAGGCAAGAAGGGAGCACCGGATGATCTAGTCCAGGGGTTGGCAATGTTCGGCACGCGGCTCGCCAGGGTAAGCACCCTGGTGGGCTGGGCCAGTTTTATTTACCTGCTGAGGTAGCAGGTTCGGCCGATCGCTGCCCCCACTGGCCGCGGTTCGCCGTCCCGGGCCAATGGGGGCGGCGAGAAGCGGCGCGGGCGAGCGATGTGCTGGCCGCGGCTTCTCGACGCCTCCATTGGCCCGGGACGGCGAACTGCGGCCAGTGGGGGCCGCGATCGGCCGAACCTGCCGCGTCAGCAGGTAAATAAAACTGGCCCGGGCCGCCAGGGTGCTTACCCTGGCGAGCCGCGTGCCAAACGTTGCCGACCCCTGATCTAGTCAGACCACTGACAGCACCGAGCTCCTGCACACTAAACCCAAACCCAGATGTACGTATTACATCCCACAGGAAACTAAGCTATTATGATGTGCCACGGGGAGATAATAGGAGTGAGTGAATTGCATGTCACTTGTAACTTTAGCACAACATTTAATTCCGTGTAAAGCAGATCACAATCAACAGCACACGCATACCCCCCCACCCTTTTCTTGCTTTTGGTTAGGCATTTTCCTACATGGCTTCACTTCACTTTCTCTTTCCTGTAACAGATCATGGTGATGTTTCTCAAGCCATCTTCAAAGTGTTTCCTCTATACCTTCTCTCATTCTCCATTTCCTAACCTCTCTTTCTCTTCACTGTGAGCTCTACCTCCTGCCCTGTACATTTGGGTTTCTTTTCTTCCATATACCCCACAAATGTGTGTGTCTCTCACATTTTATGTGCACACACTGTATTTCTCTTTCCTAGCTTATCCCATCAATCTCCCACTCTTTCCCTATGTCATTCATTTGCCCTACCATCCCCTCACAAAAAAGGTATGGAAATTTTACAAGGTGGCCATTACCCAGATAATTAATTCCACAGACCTATATGAGATAAGGGGCAGAGGGTATAGGGGGAAACTGTCCAGGGCAACAACCTGGTGAGAAAGCAACTGTTTCTCCCAGCCAATCTGTTTGGCTAGAGGAAGGTGTTGGGATAAGGGTGCTGCCCCTGGACTCTGCTCAGTGGCTTTATTTTCATACTAGCCTCCTGCTAGTAGCTGCCGACACATTTATTTTCATTGCTGCCCACAGGATTCTGAACAGGAGTAAGAACTGACAGATGCTGGTCAGTATTCACTGTGCCACTTTGGGAAACTCTGAGCTGCCTGTTTGTAGAGTCCCTGAGTTTATACTCATGTGATATATGGAAGTTTCATACTGACCATAAGGACAAATCATTTAATTAAAAAAAAATGAAAAGCTTAGATTTTGCACAAGTAGGCAACCTTCCCCATGCA